CACAGGTGGTTATTCGCCCTATACTGGAATTCCTGCGGAGACATTTTCTTTACATACCGATTTCCAAAACTCTTATTCCCAGTAGGCTTCCCACCAACAATAGCATTATTGTCATTCCAAGGTTTATTCTCTTTATCCAGGTGATTATCATTCTCAGGTTTATACCCTATCTTCCCTCAGAAACTGAACTACCATCATTTCCTAGTAATTTATTACCATTTCCCCGGTCTCCACTGCTGACCGGATGCAACACAGTTTTTGTCTGATACCCAGAGTGATCAACAGGCACATTGACTGACCCTGAGTGACCAGAGTCTAACAAACCAATACTAATCAATGCAGCTAGGTTCTTTTCTTGGCAAATCGCAACTTCAAAAGGTTTTAGGGTTCAACATCCTAACCATACACTTAATTTCTTCTTTCAAACCACTAAGGAAACATGAGACATAATACTCATCATTCAAATCATACCCCAAGTTCAAGAGTCTCGAATGCAATTCCTCAAAATGCTCCTGATATTCACCCATAGTACCAGTTTCAAACAGCTTACTAAATTTCTCTACACGACTCTGCCCTCCCTTACTACCAAACCTAAGAATCAACAATTCAGAGAATTGATTCCAAGAGAGCTTACCAGAACGGTGTTTGATTCCCTGGTACCATATCTCAGCTTTTCCATCAAGAAATATTTCAACAGAATCCATCTTCTCAGCTTCCGGAATCTGGTGTATCAAGAAATACTTCCTATATTTCTGGAGCCAATTCTGGGGAGGATGATCTCCAGTATACTCAGCCAAGTCGAGTCTGGGTTACTGATACCACATCGGGCCATGAGTCCCCTGTGACTACTGAGACTTAATAGTATCAGTGGCGTGTGGCTCTGCTTCACCATCCACATGCGCCGTCTTGGATGAACTAGCCGGTGTTGAACGCACGCACTTTTCCGTCGCTGCCTTGTTCGACATTTTTCCCGGTTCAGACGACTTCTGATCAACGGAGTCCGGCTGTTTGCTGAATATGACGGCATAGCTATCTCATGCACCGAAGCCTTCCCTGGGTTGGAGACCTGTTGCGTCGTTAGCAGCTTCATCATTTGATTAAACCTTGCTTTGTTGTTTGCGATCAAATCACTGATCCTTGAATCAAGATCGGAGAAGCGTCCATCGATTTGATCAAGCCTTGTAGTAACCGTCTCTCCTTGTGGTTCCAATTCCTTGGCTGGTAACTCGACGGTATTCATGGATCTTGTCATTTCAAGTGAAAGATTTTCAAGAACCAACGGTTTCAAGAATTGATTGTGAGTGTGGGAATTTCCAAGATCTATAACCAATTCGAACGAATCCGAAGGAACATAATCAGAAACTAATCGGAACAGGAGAAGAATTGAATCGCGGTTGAAGACATCAAAGAGCGCGATTTCTCCCAAGAATCGATGAACAGAAGCGATTTTCGATAAAAATCGAAGAAAAAGATGGAGGGAATCAGAGAATTTGAGGAACAAATGGATGAAAACTAAACAGAGTTGACGAGAATTGAGAGGCTCTGATACCAATTTGTCAGATTCCGGTGGCGGAATCGACGGAAATGGAAGAACTCCGATGAATCAAATGTGATGGAAGGGCGGTTAGGGTTGAAAACCCAAAGAGGAATTGGGAACGACCCACCTTTTGGTAAAATCAATTCAATACAATATTATTCGATAATGGCATTTCAGTACTATTTGACTATTTATAATCCACTAATTCTCAATATTACAGATAAGCCCCTAAACTATGAAAACTAAACAAAGGAGACCCCCAGATCATGACGCCGCCCCTCTCTTTTGATGCTTTATGCTCTTTCCCTCCATATTGAATTCAATTTCTCGGTCAGTTTAATTTCAAGTTTCAATTAACTAATCCAACTAAAAAATTATCGGATTTATCTATGAGACCGGAGAATCACCGCCGGTTGATGGCTGTTAATACTTATAATAATTAACAGCTGTTGAGCTACCAAAAGAGTTATGATCGAAGATCACAACATTTGATGATCAGACGTATTTATAGCTTCTTTTTTTTTTTTTGAGTAAAAGAGATACTTTCATTACGACTGTTGGAAATCGTCCAGCTGCGATTGACAGATAGATTCTGGCAATACTGGCCAGTTAGTACATTCATCAGAACTATGCTTTGCTAAGGATGCTAGTTCATATGCTAGGTTGTTATTACAACGACTGATCCAAAAAATCTCCAAGGGATGAACCTATGTAAGCAACGTACGGATCGACTCCATTGTTGAATGTGAATCCACTCCATTTGAAACAACAATTTGGGCTTCCATGATAGTGTTGAGAGCATCGCCACAAATTGTGAAACTGTCTAGGTTGAACTCCGACGCGAATAACAACGCTTCTTTCAAAGCAAGGGATTCAGCCTCCTCACTCTCCGAAATCCCCTTAATCTTCTTGATCGCTCCTTAACAAAGCGTCCTTCTGAATCCGCAAATCATACTCCAAGACCTGCAGATCGATGAAGCCGGAATATACCTCCATCAAAGTAAATCTTTGGGCTGTCTGGAGGCCGTCCCAGGAGCGAATGATTTAACAACGAAGTTGGCAAACGCTCTGGCCAGGCTCACTAATTTATTTTTGATCTGATTAACTAAAATACTGTATTTCTGTGCTTGTGGGGATCATTCATGTCTATGCCAAATTCTCAGGCCAAAGGATTAATTTCGATAAATCTTCCCTGTTAGTCAGTGATAACACTCCTCCGGAATGGAGACATATCTCAAGAGCTTACTGAAAATCTCGAATGACTTTCGAGGACAACCATATCTGGGGATGGACCTTGATTTTACTCAACCAAAAAAGAATCTGTTTGCAAGTTTTGAAAAAAAGTTAACAGACAAATTTACGAATTGGAAAACTCGTTCTTTATCACTCATGGGGAGGATAACATTAGCTAAATCAACGTTATCCTCCATGCTCATATATCCCATGGGAGCCTTCAAATTACCCATTTATGTTCTACAAAAGACGGATCAGACTATTGCCCGTTTCATTTAAAAAGGCGATAGAGACAATAGAGGCATCTACTGGAAATCCTGGGGAAAAAAATGAGCAATTCAATATTACATGGTGGTTTAGGTATGCGAACGGCGTCAGAACTTAATCAAGCGCTTTTAGCCAAACATGCGTGGAAGGTTATCTCGCAACCCTCATCTCTGTTTTCCAGAATCTTCATAGGAAAATACTGCCAATCAAAAAACCTTTTGCACATGGATGAAGCAAATAATTCAACCTGGGGCTTCAAGGGGATCCTGTGGGGTGCTCAATTACTCCGTTCTAAAGTTAAAAGGCAAGTCATTTTTGGGAGAGACATTCATCTTCACGATGATTGGATTCCCGCTCACCAAATTCCAATTAAGGCAGACTCCATTATTGCCACTCACTCCAACCTCCGTGTTAAGGAGATGATCACATCGACCGGTAAATGGAAAAACTCAGCTCTCCATAAATTCTTTCCACCAGAACTTGTGCAACGGATTCTTGACATTCACATTAATCCCTCCTCAAATCATCTTCCTGGTCGACTTATCTGGACAGGTACTAAGAACGGGATTTATTCGGTCAAATCAGGTTACTATCATGCAAGGAATATGAGAACAGACCAGCTTCCTGATGTTTCGATCCGAGAACAAACAATATGGAAAAAGCTTTGGTCGCTTGATATGCCTGCAACACTGAAATTATTCTTGTGGCAGGCTCTCACAAATGCACTCCCAACACGAGTTGCATTGCTTCGAAGAGGTATTGAATTATCGCCTCTCTGTTCCAAATGTGACCAAACAGAGGAAACTATCTTTCATCTCTTCCTTGATTGTGACATCTCTAAGCAAATATGGTGGGCCATTCTGCCTCAATTTCATTTTGATATTGGGTCTGATCAGAGATTTGAGATGTGGTTCCAGAATTGGTTGTTTTCCTCACCCACTCTGTGGCAAATCTCATTATTTACGCATACCTTGTGGTGCATTTGGCTTGGTAGAAATCAAAAAGTGTGGCACAATCGAGATTTGCAACCTACCTTGCTTGCGACATTGGCTCAGGAAGAGGATTCTTTGCACATGAAACTTTTCCGTCGTGGTTTTCACTCCGTCCCGACACAGCGATCTTCACCAGCAACCCCCGCAGATGATACAGATTATCAGGCTACTACCTTCGTCGATGGCTCCTTTAGAGTAGATTCGCGTCAAGCTAGCGCCGCCTGGAAGATAGTCTCCTCATATGGTGTGGTCATGCAGATAAAAGCTGTCTCTATCGGGCATCCAATGCCTTACAAGCAGAAATCCAAGTCCTCACAGACTGTAGTTCTCTTGAGGGACAAGTGTTACGGGAATTGGACTTCCCATTAGACGCACAAGCTCTAATTGGGGAACTAATTCAATTAAAAAATAGGTTGACTAAATGTCATATTATTAAGGTAGCTCGTAGTAGAGTTGAAGAAGTTCATAGGTTAGCTTATGGTCACTCTCTTTGCTGTAATGATGTTACTTTGATTAATTAATGTATTCGTGGTTTTTCCCCTCAAAAAAAAAAAAAAAAACTAAAATACTTTATGTATTGGTTACAGAACGACATAATGTTAGGGAGTTGACATCCTGAAGCACACACATGACAACAACAATCACAAGTCTAATTGGTTCTACAATTTGTTTGATTTGCCTGAAGTACGAATCGGATTTGATTTGCTTGATCACAAAGAAACCAAAAGTTTCCTCTTACCAATTTTTTTTGCAGATTTGCTAAATATTTTTTTTTTCTTTTTTTCCTCTTTGTACAACGATGTCGTGAAGGCTTCTGCCGCTAGGAAATTTTTTTTTTTTTCTTTGGTAATCCTTTTTGTAATGATAAATTACTATTTTCTTTAAAATCGGATTTGCAAAAATTCAATTTTCTAATTGCACTTTAGTAAATCAGATTATACAAATCCAATTTCCATATTTTACGTTCACGAAAAAAAAAAAAGGGAATGTTCACTTTGAATTTAATATCATAGCGTTTTGCTTCTACTACTTACACGTTCAACTGCTTAAACTATCTCCTCCCATAGAAATGTAACGACCTAGTTACAAGACTTAGAATAACAAAAATTTAGATTCGACTGACTAAAGACCATCCTAACACCATAAAATTACCATTCTAAAAAAAACTTCGATTACAAGTTATGGAAAAAGCTGGACATACCCAGTAGCTATGGCAATTCCCAGTATAATAACAGGTGGAAGAATTACAAAAGCTCCAATGGTGGCAAAGAAGACAGAGTCATTCCTCTGGGATACTTCATCAAGATAAGCCTGTCGTTTGATGTTTCTCTTCTGCGATATCGTTAAGAATTTTGGGCTAATCTTCTTCAAGTTCTTTTTACCTAGCGGAATCACGAAATCATCATCTCTTTCCCCAACAATCTTCAGAAGCTGATCGCGGATTGTGAGGGCGGAAAAACCAGGGGAACTAGAACTATAACCATCACTCTCATATCCTACCCAGTTAAAAGAAAAAATCAAATCAGAATCTCAAACCAATCTGGTGGGATCTTAAGGAAATTTCCGAAGTAGAATCAATTACAATGTACATAAGAGGTACCTGAAGAGGAAGTGAGTTGCTCTAGGAGGTCAAGTTGGGATCGAGTAGAAGATGACCCTTTTGAAACCAAACCAAAAAGAAGCAGAATTGAACTTTTCAGCCACATAATTCAACCAAAAATCATCAATCGATTTTAATAAATTTCTATAAAAAAAGTAACTTACCAGAAGAAGGTGGAGGGTCTTCCTCTGCAACTCCTCTGCTTTCTGTTCCTTCAGATAAAGCTGCTTTTGCTGCCACCACAGAAGAAGATGAAGATGATGAACCCAAGAAGTAATGAGATTGCCTATGTTTTGAAATTACTACAGATAGATTTGGTTTTGTGGGTAATGGAACAGTGCTGAAGTTCAAAGCCATGGAGGGTGATGCTGAAATTGATGCTTGTTGTTTAATCGGAAGGTATTATTTTCATTTTCCGCAGCCATCGGCTTTAGTTTTTCTCCAGAATTGTCCCAAATTTTCGGTGCCTCTGTTTAAAAGGTAGTGAAAATTGAGAAATAGCTCCTCCACAAATATTTTTGGTGTTGGTCCACTTCGTAGTATTTTTGTGGTTTTGAACACATTTTGGCAAAAATTAATGAACAGAAAAAAATCTGTCACCGTTTCACTTGGCATCCTAGAATTTTTTTTTTTTTTTGGATTATTGTGTTCTTTTAAAAACTTCAAATAAATTTACGTTATTTGTTTCCCTTGTCCTCCTGTTGGGATCAATTAATTAATCTTTTCATTATCAAAATTAGACTTCTATTTTTATTTTTTTTAGTTGTCAAAGAATCAAAGTTGTACTCGAAATTTTCGAGCCTCTTACTTTTCTCAAATGTGACGACTTTGAGATGTATGTCATGATTTGTGATGATATTTATACCATAAACTCAAATTTTCATTTATGATATTTTGCTTCTTCTCATCTTCTGTATCAATATTATTCTTTTCACTATATGTATATATATATATATATATTTCTTTGAATCTCGTAGAGTCAAGACCAAGAGAGTAGAGACTGTATGACACTATACTTTCGACTCCAATTTTTAAAAAATAAAGAAGAAAAAAGTGTAGCACTATGATCACAGTTTGGCTTTTGAATTTAACATGTTGATTCTAAAAACTAAAAACATACCATCTCCGTCCCACAAAAATAGTTCACATTGAGTTTTTAAATTTATACTAAAAACAGTATAAAACTCAAAACTCAATGTGTACTATCTTTATGGACAACGGATGTAGTAATATTTAGAGTGATTATGAATTCCCTGTCCTAAAATTATTTTCCAGTTTGATACATCAATTTTAGTACAACTTGAATTAGAAATGAAAATCCAAACTGGACAATAATTATGGAACAAAGGGAGTATTATTTTTCTTTAAACAATCTAAATGGGAATCCAACATACCTTAGTGGCGAAGGTTGTGAGAAGAGACTTCATGTAGAATAATTTGGGTAGATGAATGAATGAGGCACTAGTAGAGCACTCAACTGTAACTAAGTAGACTGGCATTCGAGAAAATAAAATAAAATTAGTCAATTGTCGCCGATAATGTGCACTTTAAAAATAAATAAAACTTCGAAATAAACATCAAAGAAAAATTCATAAATGAAAAATTAAAATGAAATGCCTCTAAAATATACTTCTCTTCGGTTTCCATATGAACGCAATAATTAAATTCGAAAGTCCAACTCCAACCCAGTTAAGTAATTAAGCCGGGCCGTGGGGGGAGGAAATAAAAGGAAAGGAAAAGAAATGAGTAAAGTCCAACCCCCCAAACTGGATCCTAGGTGTAAAATATGACCGTTGGGTACTCGGTTTCAATTTCTACAGGGGAAGTTATCTTCTTCCATCGTTCTTCTTCCAGATAGTTTTTAACGTTAATTCTCTCGAAATCCCATTTATTACTCATGAACAGCATCCTAAATTCTCATTAACTGCTCGAATCTAATTCTCCACACTCCGAAAAAAGGCAATCTTTCTCTGTATCTCATCACTTCTCCCCCCTTTTTCCTCTCACAAATTTCCTTCCGTTCTTTTTATTTCTTTCCTTACCCACTCACTGAGCAAAATTCTCAGGTGGGGTTGAGAATTAAAGAGGGGAAAGCAGGAAGAAGAATCGGAATAATCTGAAAGAAGTGGGTTGTCGGCTGTTTATTATTTTCAATTTTTTTTTCAGAGATATTGTCGGATTATTGGTGGGTTCTTCTTTTAAGTTTGGGTGATAATGGCAAAGATGGGTGAAGGCGAGGTTTTGAAGACAAACACTGAGGAAGGAGATAACGTGGTAGTGGTGATGCAGAGTAAAGAAGAAGGCCATCCTTATGCTTTTCATGTTTCTGGACCTCGTAATGTCCCTTCTCCAAATTGGAAGGACTTTTTCAGTTCCAGCTGGTAAGAACCCTAATGCCAACATTTGAATTCCACACTGTTTTTCTCTGTTTCTAAATGCAATTATGTTAATCTGGCTTTTTTTGGGTATGAATTAGATGTTTCTTGTTTCTTATGAGTTTCTATGTTTGATCAGATTGGTGTTCGTTCTGTTTTCAGCTAATTTGTTCTTCCATTGGTCTGTTTGTTTTAATTGGTCGTCCATCTGATATATATAAGAAAATTTTAAAAACTCAAGTTTGCATCTTGGATTCAGATAGCTTGATCACCATCACACTTGCTTCTTATAATGGCATTGACTGCAATCAGTAAGATCTGAAATTTTGATGTCTGTTCAATGACTGTCTTTACAGACACCTGTGAGATATTTAAAGTTTGTAGTTTCTAATAGGAAGTAATGCATCCTGAGAAAAATGAAAAGTGAAGATATTTTTGTCTGTGTTTTAAATATGCTTACACCAACCATATGGGTTTCAAATACTTGAGTTGATGTGAGGATTTCTCTGTATTGGAAAAGCCTTATATTCATTGAGTTCCCTGGCATCTTTACATATAGCTTTGACTTGTATGTATTAGCAATTTTCATAGATTTCTGAGGTTGTGTTGCTTGTTGACGTATTTTCTGGATATCTGATTGTAGTTTTGTTCCTACATTGTACGTTGCAGGAAAGACGGTAATTATAAGAGGTCAGTGATTGCCTGCTTCATTCAAGCTGTATACTTGCTTGAAATTGACAGACAAGAAAATAGAACGGCAGAGAATGCTCTAGCGCCAAAATGGTGGACACCTTTTAAGTACAAGTTAGTGGAAACTCTAATAGATGAAAGAGACGGATCGATATATGGTGGAGTGCTCGAATGGGATCGCTCTGCTGCAATGGCTGATTATCTACTAATGAAACCTGCTGGTGCTCCAAGAGCTGTTTTAGCACTTAGAGGAACTCTCTTGAAAAGTTCTACACTTCGGCGCGATATAGAGGATGATCTTAGGTTCTTGGCTTGGGAAAGTTTGAAAGGGTCTGTCAGATTCAGTGGAGCTTTGAAGGCATTGAAATCCATCGTTGATAAGCATGGGAGTAACAATGTGTGTATTGCTGGTCATTCCTTAGGGGCTGGATTTGCGCTTCAAGTTGGAAAAGCATTAGCTAAAGATGGAATATATGTGGAAGCACATCTCTTTAATCCTCCATCTGTTTCTCTAGCTCATAGTTTCAAAACAATTGGGGAAAAAGCTGGATTTATGTGGAGACGAATGAGATCAATGTTCCCTATGAACGGCGAAAATCAAGAACAGGTTGACAACGAGGCTACAACATCCGCATTGCCTGCAGGAATGAAACAATGGGTTCCTCATCTATATGTTAACAACAGCGACTATATCTGCTGCTACTACACAGATCCAGATGGAGTTGAAGGCAGTCCTGCTGACAAGGAAAATGCAAGGCCTCAAAGCAAAGCAAATTTCGGGGCGCAAGCGAAACTGTTTGTGCTGTCAAAGGGGAAGCAGAAGTTCTTAGAGGCACATGGATTGGAGCAATGGTGGTCAGATGATTTGGAGCTCCAAATGGCTCTTCAGAACAGCAAACTTATAAGTAGGCAGCTGAAATCCTTATACAGTCTTCCGGCGCCTACTGCTCCACAGCAAACACAAGGCAAGCTTCAATCATGGCAGAGCAGCTAGCCAGCTGCTATTGGTGGTGATGATTCTTTTGTGCTAAATAACTCATTTTCAAGCCTTTTCTTAACTTCTTTCTGCATCACTGCGTGATGGTGAATTGGTTTCATACTGTCTAGTCAATTCCATCATAAATAGTTGGTTTATACTTCATTCAATTCCCTATTGCTTTCTTCTTCTACAGAGAAGATCATCCCAACCGAGTGTAATCATCTACATCTATGCATCTTATACTTAATTGACAAGTGTTCTTTCAAGCATATCTCTGCATTTTTCCTCATATTTTTCCCCTACAGTCACAGTTCAAGTCCCTAAAGCTTGAATTATTTTCGTTTTCATCCTCATTGTCCTTTGAAGATGGTAGGCTCATGCATATTGCATAAATCATCCATCAAAGGAAGTTCAACAAACTATTGCAGTAAGGGAAGAAGAAGTGTGCTAAAGTTAATATAGACAGTAAGTTTTAAGACTTTTTTTTTTTTTTCTTTAGTTACTCAAATTGCTGATAATTAACAAGCATATATCAATTTCTCGCTTTATCTTGAAATCTTAGACTAAAATGTCCAAATTGTCCCTTACATTTGGACTTACCTGATTTTACGTCCCTAGCATTAACATTTCAATATCGTAGTGCCAAACTTATATTTGAACACTTTTTTTGTTCCATTTTACTGTTTCGGCCACTTTTCCGTCCAACTCGATGTTGACGGTAGTCGACTTGCCGGAATCAGGGGTATTTTCGTCTTTTGACTTAATTGAACTTTCATTGAAATTTAAATCATTAAAAAATCATAAAATTCACATTTAATTATTTACTTTTTAAAATATTATTCATTAATTTAAAATATTATTATAAAATTTAAAAATTACATTATTTTTTAAATGCGGAATCTCGGCGGTCCAACGGCGACAGGAGGTGGTCCGGCAGCGGTCGGCGGCGGTGGAGGTGGTGGTGTAAAAATAATATTATTTTATTTGAATTTCTATCCCAACAACTTTTGAATTTTCATTAAAACCACATTTTAAAGCATACTCCCTCCGTCCCATAATTATTGTCCAATTTTACTAAAATAAAAGATTTTATTTTTTGTCAAACTTAACTATATTTTACCTTAAACAACCGGATATATCCCTACATAAGTAATTGTTTAACCACTAAAATTTTATGGATAATGTTTTTTTACTAAGGACAAATGTGTAACTTGATCCATAAAAAGTCAAATTGGACAATAATTTTGGGACAAAATCTTTTGGGCAAAGTGGACAATAATTATGGGACGGAGGGAGTATCTTCAATTCAAAGCAATAACTAAGCCAAAAACTTAAATAAACTATTTTTTATCCGAATTTTCACCCCACAATTTTCTTGCATTTTTTTTTAAAAAAATTAAATTTTTAATTAATTATTATAGCGCGATAAAATTTTAGAAATAACTCAAGATTTATTGTAGCTGTCAAAGTCAAAAATCTTGGTTTTTTTTAATTTGAATTTTAAATTATTTATTGTGACTCGATAAATTTTTAAAGTTACAGTGGACGGTTAAAAATGTAATATAATTAACATTTATTTTAGTAAAGAAAAAAGTAACTTTGAAAATAATTTAAATTTTAAAATTTTAAAATAATATTTTAACAATTAAATAATAAATGTGAATTTTTATAATATTTTTAATGATTTAAATTTTAATAGAAGTTTAATTATATAAAAAGATGAAAATACCCCTGATTCCGGTATGTCAACTGCCGTCAACATTGAGTTGGACGGAAAAGTGGTCGAATCAGTGAAATGCGATAAAAAAAGTGTGAAAACATATTGTTTGGGACTACGATATTGAAATATTAATGATAGGGACATAAAATCAAGTAAGCCCAAATGTAAGAGACTATTTGGACATTTTAGTTGAAACCTTATAATCGCACCTCCATTTGTGCATTATATTATCTCTGTCACAACAAAAAGAGTTTTGAAATATATAAGAACTCTATTTTTGAGTCGAAGGGAATATAATTTTTGAATTGATGAAATATCTAATCACAGACACGAGTTAAAAACAGATTATCTTTCAATTTAGCCTAAAAAGATTCGTACTTTAACAACGAAAACTTTCCAAAATGGGACAAAATTGCATTATTTACCAGATAATACTGGAATGAAAATTTGCTTAGTTTGTATGAGGTTAATTATAATACTAAACAAAAACAGAAACCCAAATCTTTGGAAAGATACCCAAGATCAGGAGGTTATTGGAGTTAAACAGTTACGTTCTTATCTTTGCTGAGTATTCCACTGTCGTCTATTCATCCAATACAGGAGAAAAAAAAAAGAAGAAATTCAGAATGGAGAACCAAAACATGTTTTTTAGCTGTTGATTTCTTTCTTCTTCAAGACAGTCAATGTGATCTTCTTGGTTGGGAATGGTAGATCAGCTTTTTGGGATATTTTCATGGTCAACCTTAATTGAACCAAAAAAAGACACAACAGAAGACCAGAACAAGTCACACTACTTGGCTACTAGCTTTTCGTGGAGGCAAAAATAATTTACAAAATGTAAGATTAGGAAAGAACTAAAAGAATCTCGTCAAGTAGACAAATCGAGGCATCTTTATAATATGCTTTGTCGCTTCAAAAAAGAGAGACAGGTAAACAAATAATAATTAACAAAACGAGATTAAGAAAGAACTGAAGAATGTCCTCAAAGTAGACAAATAGAGGTATTTTGACTGTTTTATGATCCGTCATGTGTTGAAATTGAATAGTGTATACAAAGACGGGAGGAGTATATTTTCGTTCCGAATTACTCCAAAAAATTAATTTGTTGGGGGGTCGTTAGTCAAAGTTTTACCTTAATGTGGCTGTTTAATATTGAAGGGGAAATTAGTTTCTTTTCATTATGAAATAGTACAGTCCAAACTTCAAAGTAGGTAAACGAAATGAACTGTAAAAGGTTTTCATTCTTCAACGTTGTGCTTGATGTTAATGGTAGGGTGATGGTAATTCAAACACCAAAGCACCAGTTTAAAAAGAGTTAAATGAATCTCCAACAGTTTGATGTTAATTACACTGGATTGAACCCTACCATCGGTCTCAAACCATGACTAGAACATGATATAATAAAAGCTACTTATTTTATAAATATATTAACTTGGTTTCATTGATTAGCCTCCTTTGTTTGCTAAAAACAAAACAAACAAAAAAAAAAATGAATGAAGGTTTTTGTATCATAAATACATAAATTAGATTATTGGCATCTAATAAAAACCTCAAATTATGGACAAAAAATTTTTTGTAAAGTGTAACGCAATATTCGACTCCACTGGGGATCGAACCCAGAATCTCTGGTTCCGTAGACCAGCGCCTTATCCATTGGGCCATGGAGTCCTTGCTGTATCCCTAACACATCTTTAACATAATTTACAAGCCTTTTTTGTAAGTGGATGATTTACAAGCTATTTTCAGAAGTCACAATCATAAAAATTTTCTGAACCTTACACAATTGACTAATACATAATTTTATTTTTTAAAAAATAGAAAAGAAAAAATTCCAAAAAAGTTGAATCCTAACCTTTGATTTTTTTTTAATTTACCATTATTTTTCATTTTTGTTCTTTCTCGGTATGTATTTTTGCCCCCTGCAGTATAAAACTCCTATATCTACCTCTTTCCGGATCTCATCTATCTATATAATATTATATTAGAAAATCCAGAGAGAGAAAACTGGGATAGTTTTCTACTTGCCATGTAGGACTGGCAATGTTTTTCATTTTCTGATTTATTAAAAAAGAAAAAAACATATATCTTCGGTCAAATAAATTCCATTTGGTATTTCGTATTTGTCTTCCATCAAAACTCTTCGCTCAAAATTTCTTTCAATCTTAATCTTCAAACTTGGTTGGAAGATTTTTCAATTTCAAACAATAAAATCTTCAAATTTCAGCCCTACAGTTGTTCCTGTGTTTTGGTTAAATATAAACTCATCCAAATTGAACATCCCTATACCGATTTCCCATAATCACCGATCAATAATCTTCTCCCAATCTCTATCTTCTGTTTCGGTTGGAAAATTTTTCAATTTTAAATCATAAAATCTTCAAGATTCCAGTCTCAATTTCTTCCTATCTTCATTCGGTAATTAATTTCAGATTAAAATTTTTAATCAGCCATTGATGTTTATCCGAGTTTCTGTTTTATTAATATCCCCATTTAATCCGTCCATATTATGCTACTTCACGTTCAAAAATTAGTTTTAGATTCAAATATGATTTGAATGGTTCATTGTTATCTCAATTTGTATCAACCTACTCAGAGCTTTATAAAAGTTAGATTAGGGTAGAAGTTCTTCCACACCCATTGCTGCCGAAACCAAAAAATTTATATTGTACTAAAAAATTTGCTCCTTCTATTCATCCGGATGGCTCAAGAATTCGATTGGATCGAGGAGCTCACCCCAATGAAGTAAAAAACGACTGGAAAATTAACGTTCGTGTGCTCCAAGTTTGGAAATCAACTTTTGGTAAATCGGGTGATGTTCCGTGCCTTCAAGCTCTCCTAATTGATGGAAAAGAAACTAGCTGTGCATTTACTGATGTGTTATAAACAGCGGAAAAAAATTGTTTTCTTTCCATACCAAAGATAAAGTAGTTCACTTACAATTTTTTGTTATAATTTTGTTTGATTAATATATATTGATTCGAATGCCTCTATCTGTAATTAATTTTTATGGCTGTTTAAAAGTAGGAGCTGATGCCTGGGTATCATTATGTCTTTTTTTTTCTTTCTTTCTTAGTGTTTTGATAATGATATGCTATAGCCAAGGTCTAGATAGTCAAAGCAATTTTTGATATTTGAACTGCGATTAAGCCCTAAGTAGATTCATTTTAACTGTCTGTTGCGTGCTTAAGCATAAGAGTAATTTGGGTTAAGAAGAATTCACTGTTATTTCCAAATATTTTTTTTACTGGCCGATTCACTTCTTTTCAATCGCCGAATAATTGATATAGTACAAAAA